AAAAAAAAAAAGCCTAAACAGCAAATAAGGTTTATTAGCATTTTATATAAGTTGAGTATAAATTGCTTTATTAAATTGACTAATTGTTTTTTTGTTTTCCACCTTTTTCTTTTTTTTTTTTCTCTCTATTTGAAAAATAATTCCCATATTTATTTCACTGTACTTATTAATCAAACATTAATTACACATATGAATAAAATTAATTTTGTATTTTCCTACTAAAAAATAATGAAATAATTTTTTTTTTTTAAATTACAATATTGCTGGATTTTTGAATAAACTTATATTGATAATTTATTTCAACCGTAACAAAAATTGAAGTTTCGTTCTGCCACTTTGATTGATGATAGTATCTTAAATTTGGATAATCTAAACTTTTTAATTATGATAAAATTTATTGAAAGAACAATGAATTCAATAATACAAATTAATAATAATGATAATATGATGAATATTGATGAAGAGGGAATTTTTTCAATAACGTTCGAATCAACCGATCTCGTTGAAATATATTTGTAAAATGATTTTAACGCTCAGGATCTTCCTCTTCCACGAAACTTTCCGGAACAGGAAGAATACTAGCACATTCCCCGAATCTTTCTCGAACAGGGAGGATATTGGTACAATCCTCGAATCTTTCTCAAACAGGGAGGATACTGATACAATCCCCGAATCTTTCTTGAACAGGGAGGATATTGGTACAATCCTCGAATCTTTCTCGAACAGGACGAATACTGGCACAATCCCCGAATCTTTTTCAAACAGAGAGGATATTGGTATAGTTCTAAGATTACAATAATTAGTACCACTTATTAGCACATATGGAATGGAGTTCATTTGGACATATATAATTTTAGCTTATATTTTACATTATACAATATATTCATACATATAGCATACTGTTACTAAGTGATATTAAATTTGCAACAAAGAAATTATTGATTTTTCTTGTAATTTCATATTTAATTAATTAATGAACAAATGATTAATTAGATAATGTTAGAGAAGAGTTATATAATATATTTATATCAAATATTTATTTGAACAATTGTTACAATATCGAAATTTATTTTTAACATTTAAAATAACAAATCAATTATTCATTTTTCATCATGAAAACAAATCAATTCTCATTCATTTTTCATTTCAAAATATTTACAAAATGTTTAAAAATAAAGATTAAAATTAACTTAAATCTTTAAAGATTTAAAAATTTAAGAATTAAAGGTAAAAATTCTTAAGTTTTATTTCACGTATAACGTAACAGGATTACGTAATGTTAACGTGAAATTCTTTAGTTCTATTTTATGTGTTAACAAAAATTTAATCCATTCATTAGTTCTACATTAGTTAACAAATAAAAAAAAAAAAATAAATTGTTCTACATTATATGTTACATAAAGAAAATGTTATTTCGTCAGTTTTACTTCACGTAGACATTTCACGTGTAACGTGACGTTTGAGAAATTCTCACGTAATTTCATTTTTATGCAATTTTACAATTTTATCATCAATTTTATGCAAAAATTTCACTTCATTTCCACTTTTGCATCCTTTATTGTTACATTACAAATTGATTATTAATTTTTCATATAAATTAAAAAAAAAAAAGCAAATCTTTGGAATGATTATTCTATGCGACATTTGCGCCGCAAATAATCAATGTAAATTATATCCAAAATTAGAAAGAATTTTTTTTAAAATTGAAATAAACATAAATGAGTCGTAGTTGAGAGTTCTTATGCAGTTGCTTCTTTAAAAGATTTAAAGATAAATTATGTATGTGTCATGTATGTATGTATGTATATATGTATATATGAATGAATGTATGTATGTATGTATGTATGTATGTGTATATATGTATGTATGTATGTATGTATGTATGTATGTATGTATGTGTAGTATATCTGTTTGTTCGCTCAACAG